CCCCCCCATCAAATCACAGGCTACCAAGAGCCCTAGTGTCTAATTATGAGGCAGCGTGGGTCATAAGAAGTAAGCAGTTTCCAGGGAACATGCAGGATCCGGATTTCAGTCCTTGCTCTTTGGGTGATGGTCAGGAAGCGCCTCCCTCTGGACTGCAGTATCTTCATCTCTACAGAGGAAGTCATTGTAGACGTTTATGGGATGAGGGCTTGTTGCATGCTCTTAAAGGCTTAAAGGTCATTAACAGTCATCACTTGCATCTACTCTCGGGAGGCATTCATCCTGAATTCTTTTGGTCACTGGCACCCAGCTTGTCTTCCCAGGTGAAGGCCTGAGACTCCATGGCTGGTGTTCTGGTTATTAACCAGGTGAATTGCCCTGGGCCTTGCTCAGGCGGCTCTAGCTTAAGTCAGACAGCTTTTTTTTTTCTTCTTTTAAATCACACTGCAGTTTTATTTTTCGGCAATAGTTGAATATAAAGTTTCCAGACAGCTTTTTGTATAAACTGGCAGCTGGGTTGATGCTCCCAGAATGGTTTGGATGAGCTTAGGCCTGCTCAGGTTGATGTGCTCACAAGCTGCTTGACAGAATCTCTCGCAGAAGAGATTTGAGATGATGGCCTTCTTCAGTCTCCTTCAGTCTCAGTGATAGCCGTGTTTCTGTGCCTCCCTCAAAGCAAACCCCACAAAGGTGGGACTTTTCATGCTCAGCACTACTGACCCATTAGAAAAACCATTCCAGATGCCCAATCATTGACAAATTAAAACCAAGTCCGACCCAGTGCCCTTGAGTCAACTGCCCCACAGGGCTCCCCAGGCTGTCACCTTGACAGAGGCAGACCACCACATCTTTCAGTGAGCTGCCCTTCTGGCTAGCAGCTGAGCACTTCAGCCGCTATGCCACCAGGGCTCCCTATTTATATAGTTGCCAGGTGGTTCTTTGTTGTAGGTCCCCCGGGCGTGGTGGTGGGATGTGTCCCTGGCCTCTGTTCACTAGATAGATGCTTGTCGTGATCATCCAAAGTGTCTGCAGACATCACTGCCAAGTGTTCTGGGCGGAGTGGGAGGCAGAGTACTCGAGCTGAGAAACAGTGGTCTCAAACAAAACCTAAAACCAGACTCAACGGCCATCCACTCCATTCCGACTCCCTGGGACCGATAGACAGGATAGAATTGCCCCTGTGTGTGGGTTTCCAAGGAGATTCATCTTTATGGGAGCAGAATGTCTCATCTTTCCCCTGCGGAGCAGCTGCTGAGTTCAACTGCTGGTCCTCTGTGTAGCAGCGCACCGTGCAGCACACTGCACCAGGGCGCTGAAGGAAAGAAAGGAGATGCCCTGCCAGTAAGTTGATTCGGACTCACAGCATCCTTATAGGATGGTGTAGGACTGCCTCTTTGCATGCCTGAGACTGGCAGTCTGCATAGGAGCAGACAGCCTCCTCTTTCCCCCTCGGAGCGGTGGCTGGGTTAGAACTGCTCACCAGTTAGCAGCCCAGCGTGTCGCCTGCTTCACCAGCAGGCTTGAAGCATGTGCTACATCATCTGTTGCGTTCCTATCTGCTCAGCACAGGGCTCTAAATAGAACTTGCTCTAGGTAAACACATGCTTAATAAGGATTCATCTAGCTACCTTCGTTCCCAACTGTTAAGGAAAGTTCTTTATTTACCAGAGGGGCAGGGACAAAATAGAAGATGCCTAGACTTAAGGGCTCAAAGTAGAAAACTAGTTGCTGCTTCCAAAAATTGACCACTGGTCATTGTGTCCTCTTTCATTTCGTTCCTGGCTGAAGATACCCTTTGCCCTGCTATTCAAACCACCACACCCCATTCCTACCAGCTCTTGTTGAATCTCTGGGCCTCTCCTTGGCTCTGGCTTACAGTCTGTTGTGTAACGGTCGAGGTGAGTAAGCATCTTGTTCCTGGAAAATCCAGACAAGGGGTAAAGGAGGAGGTGCAGGCCACAAACATATGAGCCCTCTTGTTCCCACACTCGCCTTTTTGCCCCACAGAAAATTGGAGGCGTTGACGTCACTGTGGTTTCTCCATTGTTCAGCCCTCCCCTGAAAGTTTGGGAAAGAGAAAAAGGGAAGGTGTACATTCCAAGTTTTGTTTTGTTTTGCTTTTTTGGAATGCCTTTTCATGTATTAAAGAGTACTTTGGCCTGGATTGAAGGGGACCGGAAGGTCTTCCAGTGAGCATTACCAGCTGCTGGTCTCTGTTCTGGATGCTAGGAAACCAGCGGACACGGCAGATGTATGCTAGGAGAGGTCTGCTCCTTCAGTGCATTTGATTCATTAAATAGCCTCAAGAAAACCAAGTTCACGTCTCCCTAATTATCTTCTTCTGTCATGTTCGGCTGAAAGGTGTCATCTTGTGCCGGCCAGGCGATAGGCACACGGCGGAGTGCCTTTCTCTTGAAGGCCTGCTAGCGTTTGCTCTCAGTAGTACTCTTTTTATTTGCTATGCCATTCATGTTTTCTAATGTGCTTTAAAAAAAACCTTGCTGAAATACTGTAAGGACATATTTTTCTCTCTGCAATCCTTCTCCCTTGACTTACCTAACGGAAAGTGGTGCCGCTGGGAGGTGGCACCACTTACAAATGCAAACATCCTGACCTATTGAACGATGTGTGGAAGAAGTGCAAGCAAGCGGTAAAGGAGTTAATGGTACTAAAGGGCACTGCGGTAACATTTCCAGTGGCCATGTCCTTGCTGTCTTTCCTGCTAACACACCTTGTAGGAAAACCCCAAAGAGGCAAATAATTGCTAGAGGAGCCCTGGTGGCGGCGAGGTTACGTGTTGGGCTGCAATCTGCAAGGTCAGCTGCTCAAAACCACCAGCTGCTGTGCAGCAGAAAGATGAGGCTTTGTACTCCCGCTGATAGTTACAGCCTCGGAAAGTGACCAGGGCGGCTTGCCCCTGTTCTATAGCGTCGCCATGAGTCAGAATTGGTAGCTTTGGCAGTGAGTGAGCTTATGTATATTTTTATAAATGCATAGATACAAAATCAAGCAGGGGACATAAAAGGTGTACCTAGAAACCGCATTAATCAGTCTGCCCCAAGGTGTACAAGTGTCGCATTGCATCCGCATGGAGGGGAGAAAGGAAAACGGAGACACGCCAGATCAAACGAAACAAGAACACAAATAAAAAGCACACAATCCCATAGCAGTGGTGCTTGGCCTTGTGCGACGGGGCTGCCCAAAGCCCAGGGGAAAATTCCCTGATCTTTTCCATGGCCCTACATACTTCGTGAGGCACCTCCTATCTCCAATCCACGTCTGCTTTGTCTGCAGGGTCCCTCTCGTGAGAACGGCTTGCACACGGCCTCTGTGTGCTGACCCCTCAGCACCTGGGAGAAAGGGGCCTGGCGAGGGGCCAGTTCTTTGAAAAGTCTCGTTTTCTTCTGCTCTCCGTTTCAGATACGGTTTTGGAGAGGCGGGCAAGCCTAAATTTGGCATTGAGCCGAACGCTGAGCTCACATACGAAGTTACCCTGAAGAGCTTTGAAAAGGTGAGGCGCTACCAACCCCTCTGAAACCCCGGTCACTTCCGCTCTAGCCGCTGCCAGTAAACCAGAGCCTCAGCGGTGGAGGACGTTCATGTGTCTGCCGTGCTTCCCGCCATCGGTCCGTCTGCGGTCTCTGTCCTGACTAGCGGCTGGACAACTGGACAGCGCAGCTGATGTGGGACAGCGACGGAGCTCACTCTTTTGCTTCTTATGTTTTCCTATATCCCAGCTTTCTTTCCCCTCTTCTTTTGAACGTTTTGAGTAGACTCCAAGACGCCTTCCCTTCTTTGTTCCTACACTTGTTCTTTATGTACTTTTTTACCCCCCTTCCTGAGTTACAGACCAAAAGGTTCATGATCAGCCAAGCAGCTCCTCTGGGGAGTGGGGGTGTGGCTCTGCAAGCTGAACGGTTTGTACCCTGGACAGGGGCCTTTGCTGCACTTTATTATCTCAGGTGCACAGCCTCGTGGGCCCCGGGGTCTTGTCTGTGTAAAGGGCACGATTGACAAACCTGCTCGCCCTTGGCTAGCCCAATGGAGAAAAGAGCTTGCCAAATGCTTTGGGTTCCAGAACCATTAAGACTCCTTGACTATTGTCCTCTCTCAGGTCCGCCTCTGGGGGCTCTCAGCAGCACGGACTATGGATGCTGTCACCTGTAGCTAAATCCCACCCTGCATCACCCACGCCCACCTTCCCAGAGTTCCTTAGGGCCTGCATTTGGTGGTCCTGTTTTGACTCCCTCACGAGGCTCACCACCACGTTTTCTGCATGAAGCTTCTGACTGGAAATACGACGTTCAATGTTATTAGATTGGAAATGGGACCACTGTCCTGTGACCCGAGGAAGTGAGGGAAGGACTGATTTGGGAATGCCCGCCCCCCCCCCGGACCCCCCCATAATGGTGATGCTATTCACAGACTTCATGGTCCCTAAAACCGAAGGTGCCCCTCACACAATGCCCTGTGGCAAGTGGGCCCAGCTCACCCCTGACCTCTCCTGCTTCCTTTGCAGCACACGCGTGTTTCTTTATCGCTAAGGAGAGAGAACACACTCATCGACACGGGGTTACGTAGGCCGTTGGCTGCCCTTGGTCCATCTTTATAAAGTGACCCCTCGGCTCTTCCTCAGAAGGACCCAGGAGTGCTCCCTCAAGCCCCTTCTCATGGTGGTGGGCCACCCCCAGCCTGCTCTCTGTCCTCCGGCTGAGCCTTTCCCACTCAGCCCTGTTTGATGTTTTGGAAACCACACAGGGACAGGGCATTGTGGGAGCAAGGGTGTTTCATGGCCCTGGGAATATATTGAAACTCCAGAAGGGTTGAAGCCAGTGTGAGGCAAGTCAAGGGCTCTTGTGACTCAAGTTTAAACAGATGGAGCTGCATTGTTAGGAAGCAACGTGGGGTTGCCAGGAAGACTAGTAACCCTCTCGGTATGCCTTGAAAAACCAAAAAGACAGAAGAAAAGGTTGTGGCACAGAAATGCTACTGATCATCTGGATAGAAAGAATGTTCGCTGCCCACGTCCATTTCACAATCTATGTGATCTTTGGGCGATAAAGAGCTTGCTGTGCCCACTGTCTGAGGAGCCCTGGTGGCTCAGTGGTTGGGCCCTGGGCTGCTAGCTACCGGGTCAGCAGTTGGAAACCACCAGCCACTCTGTGGGTAAGAGACGGGACTTTCTACTCCTGTGGAGAGCTCCAGTCTGGGGAACTCTCTACTCCGGTGAGGAGCTCCAGTCTGGGAACTCTCTACTCCGGTGAAGAGCTCCAGTCTGGGGAACTCTCTACTCCGGTGAGGAGCTCCAGTCTGGGGAACTCTCTACTCCCGTGAGGAGCTCCAGTCTTGGGAACTCTACTCCCGTGAGGAGCTCCAGTCTGGGGAACTCTCTACTTCAGTGAGGAGCTCCAGTCTGGGGAGCTCACAGGGCCGCTCAGAGTCGCTGTCGACTCCAGGGCAGTGAGTCTGGCTTCTGGTTTTCATGCCCGTTGTCACTTTCCTTAAAGGAACCCAGATGGTTCTGTGGACTCTTTCCGATCCTGCTAACTCCAGCTGCCTAGACAGAAGGTGTGGTTGGCTCTGGATTTATGCCAATCACCAGAAAGAGCCAGGAGACACAAACCAGCCAGTGGGAATGGAATTGCTTTTGGACGACCGTAAAGTGGTGCTCCAGCATCAGCCTTACCCTTCGGATGATGTATCCCCTGTAATCCCCACCCCTACCCCACACACACGGCAAGTTAGGACGCCTTTCATGCCTCTCCTTACCCTGGGCTGGAAAGACCTGGGATTTTGAAAATTCTGTCTGAATGGACAACGGAGACTTGCCTCGATAACAGTGTTCCCATATTGTGAGCTGAAAAACTGAGGCTTGAGAGAAACAGCTTGCTAAAATGGTAATAGCAGTTGAGTGGAGAGATTTACAAGAAGAAAACAAGAGGCTCTCACTGTCCTTACAGGAATCCTGGTGTTGCTGGGGGGTAGGCGCGGTGCAGAGGTTGGTGGTTCAACCCCCCCAGCCTCTCCGCAGAAGGAGGACAAAGCGCTCTACAAAGCGCTCTTCTCCCGCAAAGATTTAGAGACTCAGAAACCCGCTCTCTGGTTGTTAGGAGCTAGCATCGACCCGGCGGGACTGGGTTTCTTGTTTTGGTGTAGCTTCCATTATATGCCTTGGGTTGTGATTTTAAAGATGCCCTCTTCAACAGTGCTCGGCACTTCATGTCCCACGCTGTGGTGGGGCCTGCCCTTCTAGCCTGGGCCACACGGGGCGAGCTGCCTGGCACACTGGCAAGAGCACTAGTCTGTGGTGAACGAGCGGTGGCACACCGTTTTCAAGTCAGCCCGTTTTGAGGTGGGATGATCTCCTACATTAGCTGCTGGTCATTCTTCAGGGCCTCAGCCGATGCTTTTCCTTCTGAGTCACATCTAAATAACCATTGTTACTCATTTGCACGCAGGCCAAAGAATCCTGGGAGATGGACACCAAAGAGAAACTGGAGCAGGCTGCCATGGTCAAAGAGAAGGGCACCGTATACTTCAAGGTGTGTCTGTCTGTCCCCATGCCAGCCTTCCCACCCAGCGAGCTTACTCACGTGTCCATGAAAGGTGCTGCTGTGTCCTTCGTACGGTGCTCTCCTTCATAAGAACAAACCTGAGCATTTATCAATCTGACCTTTCCGTCTAAGAAATGGTGGCGGGGAATTAATTCGAGTGCCAAAACAGCACACATACCTCTTTGAAATCTCCTACTCTGGAGATTATGCCTTCCTGCCAGGCAGACCACGTCTGCCTCCCTCAAGCCCTGTAGCATCACGCTGGGTGCGCAGCGAGCACTCAGCACATGTTGGTGGCATGAAAGGGGGAAAAGCGTACTTGTTAACACGGAATGCATTCGCTGGGGTCAGTTCCACAACCTTTCCTTCCCCCTGTCTCGGTGAAGTCGGCAAAAGGAAAGAGACCGTGCACAATTTCAAAAAGAAACTTCCTTGGAGGAGGATATTAATTTCTTCTAATGATTAAGACGGTCCCTGCCACACTTGCTGTGGGGAGGAAATCATTAGAAAATCTCCACAGATATAGTTTATGGATTGCTTCTCAAAAAGCCTCTTTTTGCAGTATCTAGGTGGAGTAGTGGTTATGCATTGGGCTGCTAACCTCAGGGTCAGCAGTTCAAAACCACCAGCTGCTCCAGGGGAACATGAGAGGCTTTCTACAGCTGCAAACAGTTACAGCTTCGGAAACCCACGGGGTCGCTGTACCTTGCCCTCAAGGGTCACAAAAAGCCACGCTTGACGCCACGGCAGTCAGTGAGCGAGAGGAGAGCATTTTCTCACGGTGATCTTAAACGCTCAGATGCACGGGGAAGAGAAAGAGCATTTTGTTCAAATCATGCTAGTGGTCTTCCCTTTGCTCTCCCGCCCGCACTGTGTGCTTCCTGCTTGTCAGTCAGGCCAGGGCGCTGAGGAGGAGCGTGGGGACGAGGATGGGCTTGTCCAGGCTGCTCCTGTCCACCCCCTGCAGTTCGTGCAGAGAGGATGCTCTGGACAGCGTGGACTCTACACCAGCGGTTCTCCGCCTTCCTCAGGCCACGACCCTTTCATACGGTTCCTCATGGGGTGGGGACCCCCCAACCATAACATTATTTTCCTTGCTACTTCATCACTGGCATTTTGCTACTCTTTTTTTTTTTTTTTAATCAATTTATTGGGGCTCATACAATTCATCACAATACATAGATCAATTGTGTAAAGCACATCTATACATTTGTTGCCCTCATTATTCCCAAAATTTGCTTTCCTCTTGGGTTCTCGGAATCAGCTCATCATTTTGCTACTCTTATGAATCGGGCGACCCCTGTGAAAGGATCGTTCGACCCCCCCAAAGGGGTCGCAACCCACAGGTTGAGAACCACTGCTCTAGAGGAATGCTTCTCCATAAAGTAAAGCAAGTGAGCGGACAGGGCAATCAAGAGAGAAAAGAAACAGAACCAGCATGAAGGTTTAGACCAGCGGTTCTCAACCTGTGGGTCAAGACCCCTCTGGGGGTTGAACAACCCTTTCACAGGGGTCACCTGATTCAAAACAGTAGCAAAATGACAGTGATGAAGTAGCAACAAAAATAATTTTATGCTTGGGGGGTCGCCACCACATGAGGAGCTGTATTAAGGGTCGCGGCGTTAGGAAGGTGGAGAGCCATGATGCAGCATGATGGCGCAGAAACCTACTCTGAGTCTTCAGGCGCATCTGCTGGTAGGTGTGCTGCTGCCTTCCCAGCCTTATCGGAAGCGCAGGGGAGCAATCTTAGCCCACAGTTAGACAACTCGAGAATTATGAAAGAATGTATCATCGCACATGATCCTGGTATTGAACCCTGCAGCTGAGACCCCCACTAGAAGCAGATTGCATTTTGTAGTAACGATACGTTGCTTTACTCTAACTTTTGTTCGGTTCTGTGTGGGTGAGCAATGGATTTGTACTTAAGATTTCTGGCTGTAGATAGTAGATACAATTATTTGTGATAGCTAATTAAATAATGCACGACTCACTAGAAAACGTCGCGGGGTGATGGAATGAGCTCTGAAGTGGGACACTGGCTCTATTACTTTCCACCTGATGTAAACGCATTTCAGATCCACAGCAGAGCCCTGGTGGCACAATGGGTTAAGTGTCGGGCTGCTCACCCGCAGGAGAAAGATGCGGTAGTCAGCTTCTGTAAAGATGGACAACCCCAGGAACTTTATGGAGCCGAGACGGAATCAGCCTGACCGCAGTGGGTTTGGAAGGTCCGATGGGGTTATTTCTTCCCTCTGAAAAAGTGAAGGATGTAGATGTGATGATCCCCGTGTTTCTTTTCAGCCCTAAAGTTTGGTAGCTTTCTGAACTCTTAAGAGTAAGTCAGATTTTTTTTTTTTCATTCTGGTTGAGGTATATGGGATACTTCTAAACTACAGGCAGCCCCAGACATACAATTGATACCCATTCTTAACAAGGCCTTCAAGAATTTGTAGGTAAACCAGAACAGGTGCTATTTAGCCTTTAGTTAGTACACGAAGGTAGGAATTGGCCAGTTAAGGTCAGCAGTTCGAAACCACCAGCCACTTCCTGGGAGAAAGGCAAAACTTTCCTCTCCGGTAAAGAGTTACATTCTTGGAAACTCACAGGGGCAGTTCTGCCCTATCCTACAGGGTCACCTGAATTGGAATTGACTCGATGGCCATAAGTCTGACTTTTGATTTTGAGTGTGATTTCCAACCGGCGTGTCCAGCTAGTGAAAGTGACTGTGATGAAAAAAGTTGTTGGTTCAAGACAGATTTACATAACATTTAAGGGCCAGCAGGAGGCATTGTCTTGTCAGACACTGCTTGTATTCAACGAAGATTCCAAGTGGGTTATTTGTGTATGCAAATAAAGTGGGTTATTTGTGTATGCAAGAAAAGAAAAATGCTCTGTAAAACCCCTTACAGCCCTGCTTCCTATATTCATCTTTAACTAGACTTCATCCCCCCCCAAACTGCTAACTAGAACAGGAACAGTTTGGGGGTCTGAGGCCTTTTGCCATCAGACTAGAGTTCCATTCATTCATTCATTGGGCACTCAGAGGCTCTCCTTGGTTCCTGGAGACACAGAACGTTGGAGAACATTCCTGGAAACCAAATGAGGTCACCCAGCCATGTGGCATGGAACCGCCCTGGATGTGCAGAGATGGCCAGGAGGAGGTGAGCAGCCGCAGGCGGCCATGCAGCAGTGTCTGTCCAATTCCTTCACTTGATTCCCGTTAGCCTCAAACGACTGACCTCTGGGTGTCGTTCCTGATCCTAGGAATCCCCAGAAAGCCATTGCTCTCTGGGTAAAATCGGGACCAGCAGCCACCTGTTCGAAGCCAGGGATTTTTAACCTGGAATTTGACAGGCAAAAATCTTTCAGAACATTAGTCCAGTGGGGGGAAATTCATGAAAGGTTCAAAACCACCAACCTAAAACTTTTCTCCCAGATGGAGTCTGAACATTTTGTTCGACTCCGAACATCCCTGGCAGCAACTTCCGAATTCGAGCTCAGAGAGTCCACCCCCAACGCTCGGCTTTTCCAAATGCCTGGGAGGTGGTTCCCTGTACATGCGTGTTCCCTTTTCAAATTTCAGGGCAGGTTTCCATCTGCCGGCGGACCCTCCCGGGACTCCTCTGTGCAGGGTGTTTGGCACAGCATCCAGACGTGTGGGTGAGGGGCAGGGCTCTCTGTCATGCCAGCTGCTCCCTGAGCTCCGTTTCCTGTGACCTGTCATTGTGGCCGACACCCCAGTGGGTGATCTCCCCCCTGGTGGAGGTTCTCACTCCTGGCCACCCGATAGCACAGACTAGGACTGCCCTCTGGGTCTTTACCCCGGGGCTGCGGGGTTTGAACCTCCGACATCTGATTCACAGCCGAGCGAACCCCTTAACTCTGCTCTCAGTGGTGTGGAATTACCCTCCACTTGTGAATGAGCTTGCCATCTTTGAGCCCTTCGGGAAAGAAGTTGGTAAGAACGGGCTCTCTGTTTGGCTTTGACAAGTATCATTACACGCCGAAAAAAATAAACTAACGCAGTGCTTCCGAGTCAATTCTGACTCATAACGACTGGATGGCACAGGGTAGAACCACCCCTGTGGGCTTCGGAGACCAGCTCTCATCTTTCTC